CAATGAGATGAAAAGTCCTGCAAAGTAGAACTGTCATCACACTTTGTGCAGGCCAGCAGGGCTTTCTGGGAGGTCTTCTAGCATGATCCTGTGACATTGCCTCTACCTTATCATTAAACATAACGCAAACTCTATACTCCATGTATAACTATCAGGAGCTCAACCCCCTAATAACATCAGAATAAAAGGTTGACTGTGCCTATAAGCACAAGGCCAGATCCTCTAATCTCTCGGAATATCTCATCATTGGACTGGACTCCATGGGTCCAAATTTTATGCACATTTTTTCCGTGAGACACTAATAGCAGTCACTCACATTTGCCAAGTTCACTTTTCAAGGACAAATGGCTGATCTGGAAAGAACCAGAAAGTTCCTAAGAATTTAATCAAGGGCAACGAACCACGAGACTTCCCTTAGGGGCAGTCACCTGAGAGAGTTTTGCCTGCTCTAATCCTGCAAAAAACACCATATTAACCTGTTGCTTTCAAATAATGTTCTGTGAATATTTAAATCATCTCCCTGAGGATATGGTGGTATACTGGTAAACACACTGGTAAACACAATTCCTGAATCTGAGCCAAAAACAGTGTCTATGCAATTGGAGGAGAGGAAGACGTATTTGGAAAATTCTAAGTGGAGGGTACTGGCCTGTATCTAAGAGAATTGAACATGAATCTTCTCTCAGAAGCCAAGGTGGTCCCCATGAATCTAAGTAGTGTGCAGGATTTGCAAGCATCCTACATGCAGAACACAGGACAGGGCAGACAGGTGTGCCTTGATGGACATCATTGCTTCCTGGTGCACTCTATGCTGGGAGAAGTCAGACTTTGTCTTACATGAAAGCTGTGAACAAGCCACCACCATGCTGTGGACCTTAGTCTCTTCTTTGATGCAAGAGATGAGCTGGAATCAAAGATTTAAGGTGGTGCTTTAGAACTGTTTGTGACAGGATGCAGCTAGAGACCTTACAGAAGTTTTGAGGAACAATTAAATGAAGCACAGCATTTTGGGGTTGTCATTACTTCTGAAGTTGCCTATCACTTGCTTCACCCTTGGGTTCTTACTGCTATTTCTAAGACTTATTTTATTTTTAATTACTTGTGCCTGGGTATCAGTGTGTCTGTATGTAGGTCTGTATACATGATTCTGGGTGCCTTTGAAGGCCAGAGGCAGCAAAATCCCCCTTGGACTGGAGTTACATACCATTAATGGCCAAAGAATCTTTACAAATGTGTTGCATGCTTTTACCACTGAGCCATCCCTGCTGCCCATTGCTGCTATGTCTTTTCAAAGCTTCAGGTGTTCTGTGATCAGCATTGCTTCTTTTCCCACTTGCTGGAAGATGCTAACCAGGCAATGGGAGGATTGGGCAGTAACCATGTGAGGACAGATCAGACTCACAAAGCTGGAGTGTGGATTTTGTGCCAGGACTCCTGTGACCTAAGTCAACTTTCCAAGACTGTTGACTTTTCCAAAAGTCTTCCACGCAGATTGTTTCCTCTACTTTTCTTCCTTTGAAGATTTTGCTTGTTCATATTCAGTTTTGTTTTTCCAGTGGTCACACCCTGCTTTTCCACTTTCCAAGTACATTACCCCAGAAAGCCATTCTTACCCTTTCAGAGCAGAGCTACCATTCATGAATCATGCATGCTCCAGGAGAAAGAGGAGATGGGGTGGGGTGGGGTCCTCTCTTTACTTGTGGCTTTCACCTGTGTCCCCATAGCCTGTACCACCTTTTCTCCACCCATCAGGTGGGGATGATCTTATTTAGAAAGACAGATCCAAGTTGACGTGAGGGTTGAGAAAAAGCAGAAAGGTGCTATCGCCTTCCTCTGAAGACCTGGGTTTGCCCTTTCTTGAACATTATAGAAGCTAAGCTGGAATCACTTTGGGTTGTTATTGGGACCTTAAGGGTCAGTTCAGCACTCTAGGGACCAAGGTCTTGAAGTATCTGGCTTTACAGTGGCTTTTCTAAAATAGGTCAGGACTTAGAGCCAAGATCACTGAATTTCCAGGTATTCTATGTCGTGGGACCTTATCAGGCATTTCAGAGCCTATGATACCACCTGAAAGGGGAGAGAAAAAGGTGAGTGGGGGTCCCAGGGTTCCATGAAATGCAACTATGAATTGGGCCTCTGTCTATAGCAGGGCTTAGTCCAGTGCTTCCCAAACAGGGAACTCTAAAGGACATCATGGATTTCAGATCTTGATCTCTGTGGCTGCAAAGGTTAGTGAGGACCCAAAGTAGCAGGGTCAACAGCCTCATCCCATACACAGCAAATGCTGCAAACACCACCAAGCTCCATGACATCAAGCAGGAAAAACTTAGGAAACATTGGCTCAACCTTAGTTTACCTCACTGAGGAGGAGGTCCAAGCAGCATCATTCTTGGGAGAAATAATCCCCTGGAACGCCTGCCCAGGGCTGATTCTGACAAGGGAGGGTAGTAACAAAGAGCCTCTAGCATTTGACAGTTGTGCTGAGACTCCTATCTCAACCTTAAGTCATTCCTATGTCCTACAGGGCCACTGAGGGTTTAGCTCTCAGAAGCCAAATTGACTCAAGCTCCAATACAAAGTATCACTTAAGGCCCAAGGGTAAAGAAACACTAGCTACACCTTTCCCCCAGACAACCTTACACTCCACTGAAGTGGAACAGATAAGAGGCCCTGCAGCAGCTCAGGTACACTGCCCAACATGCCCCACACTCCAGCTCTCCCAAACTGCAGCCCAAGTGGGTATGAAGATTAAGTGTAAGGAAAACGCTCATTGTCTTTTAACCCTGTTCACTCATCAGGTGAACTTTGGGGACTTTGCCAGGTCTTGGGCTTTACTTTATTCGTCTCTATCCCCTGCTAGCCAATCAATAGCTAGATCTCAGAGAGTCTGCCTCTTAGTGACCTCCTACCTGGCTTCCGGGCCCAACTTGCACAGAAAAGTCTTCTTTTCACTAGGAGACTAAGCACTTACTTGGTATCCCATGGCCTTCCGGGTATGCTGAGCCCCTCATCGCCTCCTGTGAGGCCTTGTCCCATGTACCCTGTGCCTCCTCATGTCCTATGTTACCCATTCACTCTTACCTCCAACACTGTTACACTGGCTTAACACTCCCTGCATGTGTGCCTGTATGTTTTTGTGAACACTACTTCCTTATTCTGGAATGTTCTTTTTCTTGTCCCTATCAAGCACCATCCTATCTGCCTAAGGTTTTTAGGATCATGCTATGTTGAAGTCTTCTCTTGACAGTGGACAGTAGGTTGCACTTGCGCTCAGCCATGATTCCGTGGCTGCCCTGCTGTAGAGAAGCCCCAGACACCATGTATTTCTGCCACACACATCACACTTGTAACCTAGACTGTAAGTGGCAGATTTCCACAGCAATGCTGGCAATTATGAGCATGTGTCTGGCCATGCAGACCTAGAACAGTTCCCAGAACATTCCAAGTTTGTTTATTGAACACTTATGGAAGCACATATGAAGTTTTAAAAGACATCAGGTATAATATTGATATTAATGAGTACAAGAATGGAAAAAGACAAGTGGCATCGAAAGCATCTTTGATGATAGAGGAAGAGAAGTCAAATGTGGGTTAAGTGAGGATCACAGTGCTGAAACATACAGTCATCCCAGAGAAAGTTTTGTAAGAGCAGTAGGGGAGCCACCTGTCCATTGAAGCCCCAGGGCCAAGAAAAGGCAAAACACATGAGTCACAGCTGGATCTTCGGGAAATCACAAAGGTTTGTAACCTAGTGCTGAAAAACACCTGGCAGAGAAAAGGAAAGATACATGCATCGGGGCTCTGAGTCTCAGCTCCCCAGAACAGAGCATGTGTGGCCATCGTAAGCGTCTTATGACATGACTGCTTTTAAGAATCAGTCAGTGCAAACCAATGCACAGCACAAAGGTGCAAGATTCTGTTGTGAGCAATCTGTGCTCTCTCTGCTTCTTTACAACTCAGTCTTCAACCTGAGAAACTGGTGCCTTCCTTGTGCAGAGGAAATTCATCTCCATGAGTTGAGTCAAAGAAAAGAAAATGGGGAAAAGAACTTGAAATGGCAGCTATTTTCCGAGATAATCCTATCCCATTGTGACTTGAAGAGCTATAGTTGATTGACTGTGTGGGAACATATTCACACAACATAATGCATAGGATAAAGTGAACTTAGCCAAAGGCCAGTGAAACCCAAGAATCTCAGTATTCGATCTCTCCTCCAGCACAAGAGTGTTTGGGAAGCCCTTGTTTATCATGGCTTCCTTCTATACTCACTGTGTTCTTCCCTGAGAGATGTAGGTTGTCCTTTCCCTAAACGTTGATTACAGAAGGCCACCTTCTTCTGAGAACTTATGAACAGAGTCCATAGAGATAGATATTTGGAGAAGGAGCCCATGCCTGCCAGAGTATAGGGAACCATTTGGTCCTCAGTTTTACTCCCCAGAACACTTATCAGAGCAATATTTAGGGAGATGAACAAATAATGAGAGCTCTAAATGCCTGTACTTAAAGGGTACAAAAGTCTACTAAGTGCCATGTAAGAAAATGAAGCAAAGGCAAAATGTCATATAACATGTAACTTGCCTTCTCTATCCTAGACCTCAATTGAACCTTTCTTCTCTCTGCCTTCAAGGCAGAGGTCTGAAGGGAGGCCTGCTATTAAGCAAGGTGCTGCTGAAACGGTACTCCCAGATGCAAGAGCCCTGCACTCATTTCTGTTGCCAAGAGAAGAAGACATTGTGCTCAAGAATGATGTAATCAGACTCAGCCTTCCAGCCTCACAGCTGTGAAGTGGCCAAAGGAAGGCAGAATGTGTAATCCTGCTACTAATCCATCTGTAAGCAGCAGATCAAAGATAACAAGTGATTTAAAACCACACTCTTATCCCCTGGGCATGGAGGGACAAATCTGTCTGGATTACTGGTAGGGGGAAAAGAAGGTAAATTTCCATGAGAATTAACTATTTTTTTTTCTACAAAGAGACAATGAGAAGGTTCTCTTCTTACCTCATGGATTGCTGGGGTTAAAATAGAGGCAAGCACTCATTTTCTTGGTCCCCAAGAACGTAGCCAGGTGACTGATGTGAGCAAGTCCCTTGCACCTTTGATTGGAGAGTTTGGATGTCCCAGCTGAAGGTACTCAGTGCCTTGGTTTTATGTCTGTGGGTCAGCTTAGACCGGCTACTGACTCATCTATATGCAGCAGTTCGCAAAGAGCATGGTTTACTTTATAACCGGATCCAACAAGAGTAGGCGTGGCATTAATGAGTGAGATACACCAAAGGTGTTGAGCTGCCAAAATAATTAAGAGACTGGTTTTTGGAGCCAGAGCTTAGAGCAGAAGGAAGGCCTTCTTGTGTGACAGTGTCCATATCACATAACTGAGTACACAAGGGCCAGGGTGCTTCAAAGAGGGAATTTAGGGTCCCCAAGGAGCCCCTCCAAAGTGTCACCTGCCTGGTGACTCACTCAGCTATCCTAGAAGGTTAGGCCAACCTGACCTTCCAACAGTTCTTTTTCATCACTGTAGTTATATGACAATGTTGTCCTTTATTGCACAGACTCCTGAGGAGCCAGGCAAGGTTGAGACCCTGATCCTGAGGCAAGTTGCCTAGCTTTTTGTGTGTTCTGAGAAGCCGGTACTGTGAAGCAAGTGAGATAATGTGGGAAATGCATCAGCATTAAGTGTGTTCCATCCTCTATAGTCACCTCTATATCAGATCCTGGATCCCTTGAGTTGTCCTTCTAGGTGCCGCTTTAGGTTACAGTATTCTCTCTGAACACTCACTTCACCACTAATCACCACCAGATGCTTAGAAAAGCTGTCATTGTGCAGCAGAGATGGTGGCAATCTAAACAGGGTTTCACTATCTGGCAACACAGAGATATTAGCCCCAACTCGGGAGTAGAAGCAGAAGGTCCAAGAAGAAGCACCTCAGGTTGGAGATGCTGTACCAGTGGCTCTGACACTATAGCTACTGTGTAGCCATTTCTTTCACACTCCATCAGGTGGTGGTGGTGGTGCACACCTTTAATCCTAGTAGTACTGAGAGGCTGAGGCAGAGACAGGTGGATCTCAGAGAGTTGGAGGCCAGCTGGATCTACAGAGTGAGTTCCAGGACAGGACAAAGAAACTCTGTCTTCAGGATAGATAGATGATAGATAGATAGATAGATGATAGATAGATAGATAGATAGATAGATAGATAGATAGATAGATACACAGATAAAACATTCCAGCAAGGAAGAGAATGGAGGCTACAAAGCTCATGAGAAAATTGCAAGACTCAAAAGGTTCCTGCCTCAGAACTTTATAGATGGATAACAACTCCTCGTGGAGAAGAGACTCTTCATTCAGCGATATGGCTTTCATGAGTTGTCAATCATGCTGGAGTAGCATTTTGGTAATGCAGCTTCTTCTAGCCTCTATAAATAACCCCAGTGACCCCATTGATTCATTAAGTTAGATTTGGGTAGAATTGTTTCTTTTGTCTGTCATTAGTATTCTTTCAGGCCTGAACAGACTTTTGCCCATGTTGCCCTGGGTAAAATCATGTAGAAACTGCCCTCTAAAGAAGAACTGACATACAATGAATGATGTTTGCAACATGGATCAAATGGAAACTGATATAGAATTACATGGGTAAAAGATACTAGTTGGGTACTGTAGAAAAGGGAAAAGAATGTAGTAGGTTGCTGTGGTCTTACATGCTGAAATGAAATTGACAACATGATCATCTTAAAAGGTAGAGTCTATAGAGGGAGATTAAGTCTTGAGGGCAAAGCCCTCCAGGATGGTACCCAGGCCTTTGTAGAAGGGCCTGATGGAGTGGGTACATTCTCTTCCACTGCAGAACACAACCTTTATCTACTTCCTGCCTTTCCCTTTCTATGCTGTGAAGGCACGGTGTTGAAGGTGCCATCTTGAACAAGTAGATCAGGCATTCAGAAGACACAGATCTGCTATCGCCCCAATCTTGGGCTTTCCAGTCTTTAGAACAGCAGAAATGATTGCTGCCTATGGACTACCCAGTCTCACGTATTTTGTTGTAGAAATCCAAGAAGACCAAGACATGGCTGTAAGTAAAACCATTGTTGGCAACATTTCCCATGTCAAGTTCATATGAGATGTTTCCCAGGGAGCAATCATATGGCACAGGGGAAAACAAGAGCAGAGACTCAAAGCTCTTGCTAAGTGTAACCTTTCCTTTCAAACAAGCTTTCCCATGGACACTCTAATTCCCAGCTGCACGCCCCTGTTCCTAGGTTCATTGCTTTTCCCTGCTCCATCCCTCATTGTGTGGCTCTCTTTTTATTTTTTAGGTCTTCCCAACCAATGGAATATGCTGACCCTTACCACAACCCCAAGCAGTCCTATTTCCTCTAGAGAAGTCTAACCTCCTCAAGGCTGGAAATAGGGTGTCCTGAGATCAAGCCCTGAAGACCTCCAAATGCAGGGAGAGCCAGGCTCAGGCACATACGGTTGACATAGTGCAGCAGGATGCTAAAGAGAAACCCTTTAACATCTTCATCGATCTCTACAGTGGTCTGTGGTACAGCCACCAACCTGTCTTCCCCTCTTCTTCATTCAATCAGTCTTGAATCAGTCCTTGATTACTTCTGCTTTCCTTCCCCGTTTCTCTCACCTGGGCATATCCCCTAAAAATCCATTCCACCATTAATCTCATTTTATGGTTTGCTTCTTAAAGAACTTGAAAGAGCACAGTGGTTTGATCAAACAAGGTGGGAACCATCACAGAGCTTGACAAGAGAGATACTGGGGTCCCACAGAACATCTTAGGGAAGGAGCTCTCATAAGCCAACATCACAAGCAGCACTTTCATGAGCTCATATTCTGCCTGCCTGCCTCTGTGAACTGTGGGTCTGCTTTTTCATCCTCCCAGGCACCCAGTAGTTGACTGTGGCAAGACAAACATGTATACCAACACTTAGAGCTCAAAGATAAACAGTGCTTACCAAATGTGAAGAATAAACCCCAAATGCGGAAAATAAATGTTTTCTTAACTGCCTCATTTATTTGCGAGGCAGGTGCCTCTTGCACAACAGCACCAGGTTGTCTCATTATTATGCAGACCAGGTAGTGACCTTAACTTTGTCCACCTCCCTCTTGTCCCCTACCTTCAAAATGGGGCCCCTTTGCACCTGCAGGGAATGAAAAAAGAAACTCGTTGCTAAGCAACACAGGAGGGCAGGGCTGATGCATTCTCTCAATTCTACAAATCTTGGTGCTAATGAGTAAGTGAAGGCAGCTGACCTGATAGATGCTGCACCTTCTGTGAAACCCACATGGCTGTTCCATCCATCCTTCCTCCTACCTCATTGTCTGCTTCTGCAGTTAGGGGGAAAGCCTGGGTCTCCATTCTATAGCATTTGGAGACAAAATGAAGAGTACACACCCCACCCCACATCCCACACCCACCACTCTGTCCCCTGTCCTTTCATGTGTCTAATCGTGTTGGCCTCGCTGACAGTGAAGGACTTCTTATGCATCACCTCACCCAAGAACCTGAATGCAAGAAACACTAGTAAATTTAGAATATTTTTAAAATACTGTCCTATTGCCACTAAGTATCCCAATAGAAGTTGTTTGGAGAAGCCATTTTAGGGGTATCTATGCTTTAGGAAAAGACAGAACATTCTACTCCTGCCACAAAGGAGAATAGTGACAGATTTCTAAGGGCAAGAGCCCTGGAGGTGAGAACAGGCAGGGAAGGCAGAGAAGACTTTGCAAACTGGGCTGGAGAAAGAGGAGGGGCATGGAAGACAGCCAAGCAGAGCCACCAAGCCCAGCAAGACAGTTGACTTCCACTTGATCAAAAAGAGGAAGAGAGCAGCTCACTGGATTGTTTGAGGACTCAGCACACAGAATGACAGTTCATCATTGGCAGATCCTTAACTTGCTACTTCATAAACAGAGAGGCTTTGCTTCTGGATATATTCAGTTTGTGAATAAGCTGAGATTCAAATGCAGACCTACGGGGCGAGGAAGCACTCCTAGTAGCTGACCCATGGAAGGAATTATCTAGGGAGCAGACAAAATGTTCTCCAGTGGGGGGATGAAGTCTTTGCCCCTCCTCTGATCTAATTCATTAAAATTCGCTTTTAACTGTAGATGTCATAGCTCTGTAAATGGTCTATGCAGAACCCCGAACTCACCTTTTGGGTAATCTGGGAAGAAATTTGGAAGAATCTTAATATAAAAATATAATAGATTAAACAAGTGTTGTTTTAAAGACAGAGTAAAGAACCCCAAAGGTAAAAAAGCAATGAGGATTCAGAAAAGATAACACAGTAGTTAAGAGTTTTTTTTTTTTTTTTTTTTTTTTTTTTACAGAGTTTAAGAAGCTGGAAAACAATCGAAGAGAATATCACTGCCAAAGGTAAGCTTGGGACCAATAGACAGCAAGAACAAGCTCCCCAAGCCCAAACCAGAGGAGCAAGAGTGGCCAGATACCTCTGAACAGGGCTGATATTAGCGGCTCTAAATAGGAATCCTGGCTGAATGTCTTATAGGGCTGAACATGGTTACACACACCTTTAATCCCAGCACTTGGGAAGTAGAGAGTGGTGGATCTCTATGACTTTGAGGTCAGCCTGATCTACATAGAAAGTTCTGAGAGAACCATAACTACTTAGACAGACCCTGTTAAGAAGAAGACAAAGGAGGAGAAGATGGAAAGGGAGGAAGAGAAGGAAGAGGAGGAAGAGAAGGAAGAGTAGGAGGAGGAGAGGAAACAGATTTCCCAGCACAGGATTTGAGGTTCACTCTAGAGAAAACCAGAAAGGGTGTGAACTTGGCTTCTTCTGTCACAGCTTAGGGTGGACACAAGACACTCTATAATATACATTCAATGCTTTGTGCAAATCTAAACTGCCTAATAAGAGGCCTTCACCTCCTTTGCCAGCTCAAGTGCTGGATCCTAGCCATGAGAAGAAGTCCTAATAAGGAAGCTATGGGCTGAGGAAAAGGACACTGTCTATACTGACATCTTGAGGTCCCTCCACCTGCAGGATCAAATGCAGCCTTTTCCTCACAGCTTCAATAAGTGCCATTGTCTTCAATGCCAGGCAGTCAAGGGTCACCAGACATCTGAGGATACTCTCTAACATGAAAGAGACTCTGGCAAACATGTGTACAAAACCAGAATAAGCACAGACAAAGCAATGGGCAAAATAAACTGAGATGACATTATA